CCCCAAAACCCCAAAACCCCATAAACGCCCATAATAAGGTGTGGCTAATTATTCGTAATATTTCGATTTAATTCTATTTGTCTTTAATTTTAAACTTCCCGCGGGTATCTACCCATTATTATTAATAATTACATATAACCATTTCTGAGTCAAGGGGATGCAACCTAACCTTACTAATACTAAATATTCCATCAGATATTAAGTCTACTATTTATCTCCAATAAAAGATGGTAAATTAGTGAAGACTTTTGTTAGTCTGGACAAATCAAAGTCATTACACTACAACATGAAAAAATGGCTAAATTGACTGAAGATTCAAAATACTGAAAATATGCCTAAAGGAACTCCTCTAAACGCCTAACTTTGGTGAATCGAAGACGAATTTGAAAGTGAAATAACAAATAAAGAATTTACATAAGGTGAGATGCTATTTATTGGACTGGAAAAAGATATTGAACTTTTCAGGAAGAAATTGCAGCAACAATAGTTTCAAGATCTTATTGGTGAAGATGATGAAGAGGAAGACAAGCAGCAAAGTGTTGAAAAACCTTTGACGAAAAAAAAACTCGAAAAATTGAATTCTTAAAAGGCTTAATAAATAAGACCACCAATAGAAATGAGTGATATTGCTATGAATGAAGAATACTTTGATGATATAATTAGTTTAAAATCAGAGGAATCAATCATTGAAGTTTGTAAAAAGAAACCAAGAAAAGAGCATATAACACCATAATCTATTGATGACGATGATTTTGATGATTTAGCATTTTCTTAAGAAAACTCAGCAAATAAGAATAATAATTCGTAAGCAAAAAGAAAAAGAAGACCACGAAATAATTAAAACAATAAACCTCAAAGAGTATTTATGTCAACTAAAGTCGATATTTCTGAATAAGCTTATGATTTCTCTGGATTTGGAAAAAATCTGAATGAACTTACTGATGAAAATATACTTTAACTTCAACGTTTTTTAGATTTTAAGAAATTCCAAGAGTATTGAACTATGGTTTAATAGCTCAACCAAGAGATATTTGAAAAATTTCAAAAGTTCACCATATCCATTGATTAAGTGCCAGATCTTGCTAATGATGGATCATAAGCAATGGTGCTGAGATGCTTTAAGCATCATTAGTATTTTTAGGACAAAAGTGCTCTCAGTAAAAATGATGATGAAGAATTCTTTGATATTTTGAAGTCTATCGATAAGAATTAAAATTTATGTCCTTTAACTATTCTAATAAGAACAAATATTCAAGGTTATTGGTAAATTGAGAAAGAAATAACGAATTTGTATTTGCATGAACCATTGATGCATTAGATGTAGCAGAGTACAATTCTCAAAAAAAGATCAATGAAGGAAGTCAATAATCTAAAGTTCGATGAGATAGTAAATAGATCTAAAAATAATAACAACATAGGCAATATGAATAATCAAAATGATTTTGAAAGTGAGTTTCAAATGGATGAAACTAATTTAAATGTGAATTTCAAACTTAAAAAAAATACAAATAAATATGAATTCGATCCTGAAGTTAGCACAAAGCCAACAATGTCTCCTTAGACAGAGTAGCAGATATCAGAGGATTATCCCTAGCCTGAAAATAATATAAGTTTGCTTAGCGATAAATTTTTCAACTCACCTACTAAGAATGAACCTCTAAGTCAAAATAAAAAGGTATGCATGTTAATCTTAGACTAATAAATTTATAGAGACAAGAAATACCATACTAAGTACTAAATCGTGGCACTGTCTAAGAAGCATAAAATGTTTTAGTAAATGTCTTAGACTCAACTCAATTTTTGAATAAAGTTGTCAATGATGTTCAATTAATGCAACCTCCGAATAATTTAAATTTAAAACTCAATAACAAAAAGAACATCTTCAAAAAGCAAAACTAACTTATCAATCAAAACTCGACTAATAAATTGATGAAAAATGAGATAAGTCCCTTGATCAAAACTATTACAAAAAATGAGTAAGAAATGTAAGCATAGGGTTTCTAAACCCGCTAGGATTTCAGTTGGTTTGTTAATGAAGAAGAAAGAATTTATAGGGGAAATGATTACTCAACTAAGGAAGAAGATACTCATAAAATGATAAGATACTTCAAACAGTACCTAAGCAAAGGAGATTTTTTCAGATATGAAACAGATTAAAAAAATGAGAATTAGGTGAAGACTATGATTATATCAAGTGAGAGTATGAAAGAGAAATACTTAGTCTATCGAGATGTTGTTGCTTTAGCTCCCTGCTTTTAATCTTAATCAAACAATAGATTCAACTTATTCGGAATAGCAATATATGGTGTTAACTCTTTTGGCAGAAATATAATATTTGGGTTTATTTTAAGTAAGAATATTTAGAAATTTAATCGAAAATATAGTGACTTAAAATGATCAAGCAAGTCTTGAGTTCGCTCTTAAGAACTTTTTATTTTATGTTGGATAGCTTCCAAAAATACTAATAATTGAGAGAAATAGCTTTGCCTTTGAATACTACCAAAGTAAGAAAATTACTATTAATTGATATTTATTAGCAATTTTGAAGGTTATAAAAAAAGAGCATTTAAAGCTATAATTTGATAAGTAAACTGAGCCCTGATTGATCTATTGCAACTATTCAGTTTAAAAAGACATCATAAATAAGTTTGACTTTCTGAAGAAAGATGAAAATGAATTATACAAATTGATATTTAGTTTGCCAATAATTGAAGACAAAGAGGAGCTTGACATCAAATTAAAAGATTTGCAAAAAATAAATTTCAATTAATTGGATAATCTTAAGGATTTTTTAAGAAAGCTTCAAGTAGACAAATAGCTTTGGTCCTTAGCTTACAGAGATGTCCAAAATTAAAGAATATTTACTGGTGATATATCTATAAGCCAATGAAATCAAACTATTGAAGGCCTTATTAATAATCATTTACAAAGAGCTAATGAATTTTATCCAAAGGAATTTTTAAAAGCTCTGTCAAATTTAGAGGAGCTAGAATGCAGTTATAGTAATGAACCTAAAGTAGTGGGAGCAAATATTAATTAAAAATTAGAGTAGAACTTCATTTTCAGAGAATTTGCATAACCTTACTTCACACTTTACTCACTGTAAAGATTTAAACTATAAATGTAAAAAGCTAACAACTATCAATTAATCGAGACCAATATTTAAATGACAGACTCAATAGATGAAAATCAGGGTATGGCAAGATAATGGAGAGTTGGAAATATTGAAAAGAAATAGCTTGTTTTCACTGTAAATCTGGTTCCTTCAGGATAATTTGATGAATTTGACGAAGAAATAGATTATCTATAATGCTAATGTACTTTCAGTTAAATATCTGGTATTCCTTGTTCGCACGAGTTTTGGATTTAGAATTGCTTTTACGAATCAACATTTCAAAGGTGAAATTATCTAAGATTTAGAAATAGATGGAAAATAATCTATGAGACGAATAAAAAACTAAAACTACATGAGGATGAATCAGGACTTATGTATATTCACAAATAAATTAATTATTCAGACCTAAAAATACAAACTGAGCCAATTAAAAAGAAGAAAAAGTATTATCCAAAGAAAAAAAAATCAGAAAATCAAAAGAAATAAAATGAAAAACCCTCTAAATTAAAGAAATTAGCTGATATAAAAGAAAAAAAGTAAAAAGAAATAGAATAAAACTAAATTGCAGTTCAGCAAGATATAAATGAGACAAATGTATAATTAGATCTTCAAGAAAATTAAATAGAGGATAATCTAAAATTAAACTAGGAGGAAGTAGAGCCCAATCTTGAACTTATTGTTGAATGTAATCTTAACAATATTGAAGAAAAAAATA